GGGGGGGGAGGGAAAGAGAGGGGGAGGAGGAGGAGGAGGAGGAAGAGGTAGTCGAGAATGAGAATGGCGTCAACGGCACAAGCACCAACACCACCGAGGGGGCAGATGGACCTCATGGCAATGGCACCGCAGTGGTTGAGGAGGGCACCGGCGCGGCCGAGGAGGAGGAGGAAGAAGAGGAGGAGGAAGAAGAAGAGGAAGAGGAGGAGGAAACTGAAGCCACCACCGTCGCCAGCACCACCGGTGAAGAGGGGCTGTCCCAGGCAACCACCACGGGAGATGGGGGACCCACGGACGCCACCACAGCCGGGGAGCAGTGGGAGTACGAGGTGACAGCCGGGGGACGCAGCCGGGGGGATGAGGGCACCACCGATGGCAGCTATGGGGAGCAGGATGAGTACGCCCGCGGGGACAGCTACCAGGCCTATGAGGATGAGTATGGCTACTACAAGGGGCACGGCTACGACGTATATGGCCAGGATTACTACTACAGCCAGTGAGCGGGCAGGGAGGCAGCCCCAGTGCTGCTCCCCGCCTGCCCCATCCCACTCAGGAACATGCATCCAAAGGCTCACTGCAGCTGCTGTGCACCAGAGGGGACACCAGGTGGCTTGCGGTGCTCACGGGCTCCGTCCCAGGCTTTTTTTTGTATCTCGCAAAGCGAAATGAAATAAAGCAACCGAACTGAGCTTGTTGGTGACGAAAGCTTTGCTGCTGAATTAGCTGGGGTCAGCGGGGTGGCACGGTGCTTGGTGGCTGAGGGGCTACAGGTGCTCATGCTGCTCAGGGTTAAATCTCTGTATTCCAGCTCAGATGCACACAAAAGGAGGGAGGAACAGAAAGGCTAACTAGGAAAGCCTCTGTAGAGTCCTCTCCGAAAAATTGAAGGGCATTTTTAGGGTCACTGCTGTGGGATTACTGCCACATCTTATGTAGAGTTGACATGAATTTGCAATATGTGGGCAATGATAACTTTACCACATCTTCCACTCCTCAGTAGCATGCCTCCCATGGCCTGACCACAGACCAGGCAAGATTAATAAAGGTAAAGACATTAATTTCTCTTTCCGTGCATCACTAGCTGTAGATGCACACCCCTGTAATGAGATCTTTGCTTCTGCATCCCTGCGCCAGGCATGTTGGTCCCACCAAGGCCAGGCACCTCGGACGTGTTTTGGTCACCGGCGCTGCAGCCCAAAATGGTCCACGTTTCTCCCCGCCACACAGCCTCGTCCCCAGGGCAAGGTAGGGCTGTCACAGTGACAGTGGTGCATCCACTCGCCTCCTGTGTCAGGGATGGGGATACCCAGCTTGCGGTCCCCAGGATCCCTTCCCAGAGTCACCTCCCCATGAAAGCGTGGACCTGGCCAACTGGGGATCAGCACCAGAGATGGGAAAGGACCAAATTCTGCTGGGTTCCAGGCAGGTGCCCCCATTTAGGAAAAGCGATGGCCCTCACGCATGGGTTATGGCAGGTACCGCGCTGCCCTTGCACTCCTGGAAAGGAAACCTGTGTTCAGCTCCCAATATATATCCAACTGCAAAACGAGTTTCTATTCTCACAGCAGCAAGCTGCTGTCCGCTGTACAAAACCGTCTCCGTGTGCCAAAGCTGGGCTGCGGCTGCCAGGGTGGCAGGGGGTGCTGCCTGCAGGGTGGGCACCCCCAGGGCCAAATTCCTACGGTGGCACTGGGGAGCCCTGCACATGCTCGCGGCTGGTGGGGGGGACACAAGAGCCCCATCGTCCACATCCCCAGGGGGTGCCCAAAGACGTCAGGGAACCAGCCCTGGTGCTGGCAGGGGCCAGGTCCTGCTCCCATGGGGTGCCCAGCCCGGCCCCATGTGCGTCAGCCCCCCTGGGCACCCGGCCAAAGCTCTGCCTCCCTGAGCCAAGGCGCACCGGTCGGCTGCTCCGGTACCCGCGGGGCAGCATCCAACCATGGCTCCCTGTCCAGGGGGGAAAGGGCAAGTTTCCTCCTGGCTCTGAGGTTTGCTCCCACCTGAGACTGGATGCTGATGGTTTAAGCATTTCTGGCATTAATGTGGCGGTCGTACCTGCTCCCAGGGTTTGGGTTGGGGCAGGGTGGCTGGTGGGGTGAGAGCTGTTGTCACCATCACCGCAGTGCGCAGCTGAGCCAGGCTCACCGCAGCAGGGGGAACCCCCCCTTGGCCTATGCATAGGCAACCAGCAATACCACCAAAGCTAGAGGGGGACAGGAGGAGAGTATGTACGTCGTGCACATCCTCGTAGCACCTTCCCACAGCAAAGGTGGGCTCGAAAGGACCTGTGCAAGCAGTGCATGGAAAAAAAATCCTTTTTTGTTTTTTACCACTCTTGTAGTTTGCACTTGCACTGGGCTTAGCTCAGGGGGGTTGAGTTTGAAACCCAAAAAGCAAGCATTGAAGGCTACGGCGTGGTGGCAGCTCTCAGCTTGGCCAGTGCTTCTGGTCATGGCCGCGAGCAGGCCGGGCTCAGTGTATTGCCCTTCCCTTTCTGCAGCCCTGCCGGCTTTCCCATGTCGGTCACGGTGAGCATGCTACGACCCACTGCACCCCCTCTTATCAATAACCGGGCTGGATGTGTGCCACGCTAAGATCTGCGCTAATCATCGAGCAATTTCGCCTTCATAACAGATATTTATAAACCATGCTTTCTGTTTATCCAGTCAGGTGGAACATTTGATAGCTGTCTTCCACCACAAACACATTTTTAGCTGGAAATTACTCCCCCTGGTTATCTGCGGGCACTGCCAGCCCTGACAAATGTCCCTGGGCAGGAGCTGATTGGCTCCACACACCCGGGGCCAACTTTAAATTTCAGCAAAGTGGGCACAGCCTCCACAGTCTGCCACTGGGACCTGCCTTGGACGGCGAAAGGTAATCTTCTTACCTAGTTTGCCTGCCCTGTCTCTCTCCAGCCCTTCGGTTCTGCCCTCCCTGAGCAGGGCATCTCCAGCTTTCACTCTGGGCAAGCTGCAGTGGGGACAGGGAGACAGCCCGAGCCTCAGCTGTGCACATCTCTGCATCGTGCTCTCTTGAGCCTACGTTGCTTTGTACTGCTGATCCTTGTGCATGAATTTCCTTCCAATGGTTTCTGTAGCAACGCTTGCATGGCTGAAAATAGTCTCTGGGCCGGATCTGCGAGCCCAAGCCAGGGTGGATGGGTGAAATAAGAATTGTTAGCCAACAGAGCTATCGTCTCCTGCCATTTATCAGTGCTGTTGAAAATAGTGTGCGAGTTTCTTAATTCAGACTTATGGCTGTATGGCTTAGCCTGCAGCGGTTTTGGTGGTCATTTATTACAAATATCCACCCAAGCTGCTTTGACAGAGGGAGTTAAGAAGCTTTAACACCTGGTGTCAGAGCGCTCATTCGGTGCTGCTGGCCATGCACGTGTCCTTGCCTCGCCGCCATATGCATATGGCGAGAACATCACCTTTGCTGTGAGGAGTGCAGAGAGGCAGAGCGATGCCGAGGGCCACCACAAAGGCTAGGGAAAGCCGGGGTCACTGGATAACCCCACTGCCATGGGGGCTTTGGGACAGCAGGAGCTTTTGGGTTGCTGCTGACCGGGACTGTTGGGGACCGCAAGTCCCAGGAATACAAACTCCAGTGACACTTCATTTTGTGCCCCCAGGAGCTGCCCAAGATGCAAACAGCCCTCATTTGGCTGTGCCTGTGCCTGCTCAGCACGGCACTCTCGACACCTGTGAGTATGGCTCTCCCCAGCTTCCCAGTGTGCTGCCAAAAGCATGGGGTATACCACCCAGTGCGCTCCAGTACGCTTTCAGCAGCAGGAAAACATGAGTTGTACTTGCATATAGCACCTCTGGGGCTTGGGGGGTTTTGAGGTGCTGGCACAGAGGTGAACCCAGCAGCAGAAATATATATTAGCACTGAGGTGCCTGAGCATGTCCCTTTAATTTAGCAGTTAGGACATTGTGCAAGGGCCAGTCTGGGTCGCTGTAACTCCCCCCCTTGATTTCTGTGGATTTGGGATCTGCCCAGAGCTTTTGGCCTGGGAACAGGCAGTGCGAAGCCACAGGAAGGGAGGTGCGGGGAGGATGCTTGCCTTACCCACATGGGTAACAGGGGTCGGAGGGGCTCCTGCAATTATATTCCAGCTATCCTAATGTGAAATTCGGACAGATATGACTGAAACAAAGGGCAAACTAAGATAAATATAATAGCAGCCATTTTTGTCCTGCATAACTGTTGCCCAACATTAAATACACAGCTAGAGTGAAAATCTGCTCCTAGTGAAAGCTTGCTTTTCCAGCAGGGTAAGGAGGAGGGAAACTACGTCTTCCCTGAGGGCTGGGCCCCGGCCGTGTGCCCTTTAGCCCCAAGGGCAAGCTTGCACAACCGGGTCTGCTGCAGGACAGCATGGGGGAAGGCAATAAATCAGCACAGATTTGCTTTTCAGATAGGGCACAGGAGAGAGCTGGTTAATACTCTGCTGCATAACTGGGGCTGTAATCCAGCCTTTGACAAACAATGGAATAAGCTGGGAATATTTAACGCTCTGGGGTGTGTTTCTGCCCCTTTCAGCTGGGCTTGGGGCGCTTCAGTGGCTGATTTTGCTGAGACCGGAGGGGGCTCCCCTCCATGGGGCTGTCTCCCCCTCTGGCACATAGGGAATGCCCCAAAATGGCTTGGTGGGGCTCACAGGATACTCCCACCTCCAGGTCCCCCATCCCTGAGGGATGCACTGGCCAATACATCCCAAAAGATGCCAGGATAATCAGGGGAAGCCAAAAGCTTGCAAGCATGTACAGAAACCTGGCTGGGAGGGCACAGGCGTCGCTGCTCAGTTGCCCAGTAAACACTGGGAATCATCACCAGTTAACCAGCTCCAGGCTCCCACTGCAGTCAGATCCCAGACGTAAAGTGGAGCATTGTGGTGTGAGCAGTAGTGCCATGTGCTAAAACTGCTCTGCAATAAAAATACTCTGCAGCAGAATCCAGTAAAAGGGTATTTGCAGACCAACAATATCCTATTAAAAGTAGCATGCAATGCATGCTACAGCAAGCATGCTGTAGCAGAATTTGCAATAGTTTTCAGACCCTGGAAATGGGTTTTTGACCTTTCTTATTGCTGGCTTTAAGCCAGCACCCCAGGTAGTGCCCGGGAATTTATTGGCTTATCAACAGAGTTTTTCCCGCCCTTCCCTGGACGCCACGGTGTGCCCATCATGCTGGGCAGGGCGGGCGGCCGGCAGCAGGCCTTGGCAGCCGTCTGGATGCTGGGGCAGCGTTTGATGCCTTGGCTCTTGCTTGTATTTTGCTGCCCGCAGGTGCCGCCACCGCTGTCCGGGAGAGCTGCCAGGAACTGCGTGGGACAGCACCGGGTATGTTCCCCCCCTGCCCCAACTGGACCCTGTGGACTGCGCTACAGCGGGGGCGCAGGGAGAAAAAGCTGCTTTTGGAGGGAAGCCCAGTGAGCCGCGGAAAAAGAGACCGTTGGTCCCCTTGCCTCCGAGCAGCCCTTAGGAAGAGCAGGGGAGGGGAAAGGTGTGATGTGCTCAGGCAAGGGAAGGGCTTCCCCCCCGAGCTGCCCCTCTGCCCCTGCCCAGCCCTAGAGCACAAATGCTTGGTGTACTTACAGGCAAGGTTGTAAAAATCCCAGGCCCAGCTGCTATGGGGGTTTTTTTCAAGGTGTATCAGTGTAAAATGCATCAGTAGCAAAATTCAGATGAGTAGTGTGGAAGAAAATGCCAGCTGCTGTCCTTCTAGTGCTTTGGTCGCCGTTGGTCCCATCACTCATGTCTGACGGGACCATCAACCAGGTTGTTTATTCAAGCTATAAGCTACCTTGCACGAACC